GAATACCTACTTCCAAGATAACAGAGCGATAGGCTGAGCCCGGTCGAAACGCTGAGGACGAGCAGGGTAGTCGGAAGGAGAGGGGGGAGTCGGCCGTCCGGGACAGGGTCAACCGTCCGTTCGAACAGTTCGAACGGGGGGTCGCATTTGGGCTCTGGGAGGGAAAAGGGGGTCGCATTGCGCGCGCTTTGGTCATCAGGCAGGGCAGAGGTGTGTGTGAAAAAAAGCAAAAAAGTTGCCGTTTCAGTGGTTGTATATATATACCCCCCCCCCGCTCGACGGCTATTTTTGGGGAAAAAGTAGGCGGAGTTTCGGAGTTTTAGGTAGGTTTTGGGCTGTGTCAACTGGTCTCAGAATCAAATACTATAGAAGAGGGAGAGGTCGCGGTGGGGGGATGGCTGGGTTGTATTGGGGGTCGCAACTGGACCCTCTCGAGAGGGGGGTCGCAAAAATCCCGAAAATGTTCGAACGTGACGGTTGACCCTGGTCCGGGATGCCGGAGACGAAACGAATAAAAAATGAATGTTGTTTGTGGAAGCGCGCGAAAAGGGTTTTGGCGCTCATTGACATGGCTTGACACGTTTGACATGTTGAGTCCACATTGGCCCTGGAGCACGCTATTTTCTTCTAGTCGACCAGAGGGAGGTCGGTCACGACACTCCGGGGGGCACATGAAGATGAACTCTGAAGTAACTTGGCGTCGACATGGTGAGGGCTTGGTGTGATAGGGCCTTGCGCTTCGACCGAGCAATCATAGAAAATAACACAAAAGGAGGATCAAGAGATGACAAAAGCACTTCATCAATTAGGAGGCAGCGAAAAATATCCTGCAATGAATTACCCTGAAAAGAGGATGAGATATAATAAGAGAGATCAAAAAAATGAGAAAAAGTACGCTAAATATCAAACACAATAAGCTAACAAAGCAAATGTCAAAACAATTAACGAGACACAAAATAAACAATTCTTCACGAAATGTATGGTGCAACATTAGTGAATAAACTACTACTCGCGACGGGGGGTTGCTGGGTCAGTGCTTTTTGTTGTGGACGTTCCGATAAATTGTCCACATCGCGTCGAAAAATATGTCGATGTCTCCGCTGACATCAACTTTCACGTCGGAACTTCTCGGGCAGATGGCTGGATGATGGTTGACGTCATGGCAGATTCTACAAGGGGCGGCGCGTTGACAATGACCTGGGGTGTGAACGTATAAACAACGTAGACAACGGCCTTCTGTGACGGCCTTCAAGCAGCGATCGGTGAGGCTAACTACTGTAGGGCAGTTGTGGTGTTGGCAGGCAATGACAAGCTGAAACATTCGTGGAGACGAACCCTGAACTGTTGCCGTGTCTCGGTGGTTCGTGGTGGAAGACAGCTGAGTGCCAATGTTTATTCGGGGGCGACCTTTCGAGGTGGTCGCTGAAGACAGAACTAACCCTACTCTCTCATATCATCTACTCTGGGTATCTTCATTGATGATAAGTCTGTTGATGTTGATCATTCATTCTGTAACTTGTTTTGACCAGCAATCATTGTAGCTGTAAGCTGCAATACTGAAGTAGGTATTCGTCACATTTTTATATTGTTAATGTGTTCGTTGAATACATGAAGGCTTAGTCAATAAGGTGTTAATGGCAAAAGGTCGTTCCAATGCTTATTTTCACAACTATTCGGTTCGGTTGCCGGGTCATTCACTCGAAGCACGGGGTCGGGTAGGGTAGGACGGGAGGTGGGGTGGGAGTCCCCCTTGTGTCGTGACGAACCACCGACAAGTCACGACAATATGTATGTTTTTGTTGAATTGGTGATGCTTATCTATTATATTATCGTAATTTGAAGTTAAATGTGAATAGGAATTAGTTGTCCTATCGATTGTAATAGTACCGTCTTCTTTATACTTGATTCCCATTTCTTTTATAATATTTATAATATAAATTTTTTTACATATAATTCCATAATTATTACAAGCTTTATCTAATGGGCAGAAAATGACGTCTTTTTATATTTGTTACAATCTTCTATAAAGTTATTATTATAAATATCTATATCTATATCATTATTAAGCCAATTGCTGAAAAGTCTAGGTTTGAGGACTCTATATAAGTTAGTTTTGATGTTCTCATATATTATATTTCATAAATTATCCTATCTTCTTCTTAAAAACATATCTTCTTCGAATTCACTTTTTCAGTCCTGACATCTCAGATCACTGTCCATTGTGGTCGTTGTTATGGTCGCCGTATTCTAAAGCAACGGCCACCTTGTCCTCGAATGGCACACGATAGCAGGATGTGTGGTCTCCCAAACGCCGCGCACTGCACACCGCAGTCGTAGTCGCGCAGCAATTACCTGCCGTTGCGGTTCTTCATGATCCTCCACCTCCTCTTTTACGGGCAGCAGTAGCTGTGGTCCATATTGCCACCCATGCGCACAAAACAATGGTGTGACACACAAAACAACACCAAATTCCTGGACCACATTACTTAGAACATCTTCCTTCTTCCCAGTGATTCTTCCTCGCGTAAAGTCACCCTAGTGTTGTCTCTGAGACTTGATGTAATCAAGAACACCACTACATTCCACAGTCACTTCTCCCTGCTCAGTACACTCCCTCTTGTCCTGCCCCACCAAACCCCTCGTTCTGCGTGGCCACCTTTTGGCTCCAGATTGAAGCAGACCGCATGATATATGAGGTCCATATACTGTGCATAACTGGAAACCTTCAGCATCATGCTGCATCACTGCTTCATCCAATTCCATTTCAATTGGATTAATAATAGGTTATGTCACCAGATCCATCTCGTCCTTACACTTTGCACACCAGTGAAGTAACGAAGAAAAAAGCATAAATACACAATATTTATTGAACCAATAAAACGATCTTTACGAGAGGTGAGAGAATGTTCAATGCACAACACCCTGCTTCAAATCTTTAGAAGTCCTAGAACATGACGTAGAATGCAAGAGTTAACAGGTGTAAACAAACAAAAAATTTTAGGTAGCGAAGCCGATTAAATATGAGCGAAGCAGAATCAGATTCCATCAACTTATAAATTATTTTTAAAAGAGTGAGGAAGAATGGCGACTTTGAAGCCCGTCCAACTCATTGATGTTTCGGCAGAATCAAACTAAAAATTATCACATATAGATAAGGGAAGTAAAAGGGCAATTAGTGAGAAAGGTTTACAGAAATGGTAGGGAAATGGGGAAAAATTAGGACTTCATCAAGGTCTGAAAAGGAACTTACTCGGCAACTAAGGTGACGAGCGGATTTTGGAAAACTTGTTTCGGGATGTTCGCCAGCTGCACTGCCCATATCAATATGCGTAAATTTCAAAGGATGGTCGCTGTCGCACCCATGTTCATCCAGTCGAGATGCCTAAAAGAGCTCAGAAATGAGAAATTTATGAGATCGTGCATTCGCAATTTAGGATACACTCACGAGAAAACATACCTACATGTATGACAATACCAAGAATGCAATATTATGACTTACCATAATCATAAATGCCCCCGGACATTGATGACCTCGCAGAGTTTGAGCAGACGGCTTCAAACCAGTTTGACGTATGTGTGCTTGCTCGCACTCCGCCTTGTGAAAATCGAAATCCTGAAATGTTATGAGTAAAGTCAAGAACACATAAGGAACAAAACCTTAA